CAGGTTCCCTAGTGGGAACGCTTACTTGGGCCCACCACTTAAACTTTTTTTCTGACCGGAGCGACAGTCGCTCCTGCCCGAGGCGCGCCTTGTGGGCTGCCCTTCTATCGACCTCTCTTAGAGGCCCCTCTCACGGCCCCTCGCGCCACCCTCAGCGGCCCCGTCGCCGCCCCTAGCGGCCCCGTAGCCGCCCTTCCAGGCCCCTCGCGGCTCCTAGCGGCCCCGTCACCGCCCCTACGCGGCCCCATCGCCGCCCCTAGCGGCCCTGAGGCCGCCCCTAGCGGCCTCGTTGCCGCCTCCCTACCTACGCGGCCCCGTTGCCGCCCCTACGCGGCCCCGTTGCCGCCCCTACGCGGCCCCGTTGCCGCCCCTAGCGGCCCCGTAGCCGCCCCTGCGTGGCCCCGTCGCCGCCCCTAGCGGTCCCGTAGCCGCTCCCCTCCCTACGCGGCCCCGTAGCCGCCCCTACGCAGCCCCGTTGCCGCCCCTACGCGGCCCCGTAGCCGCCCCTAGCGGCCGCGTAGCCGCCCCTACGCGGCCGCGTCGCCGCCCCTAGCGGCCCCGTAGCCGCTCCCCTCCCTACGCGGCCCCGTAGCCGCCCCTACGCGGCCCCGTCGCCGCCCCTAGCGGCCCCGTCGCCGCCCCTAGCGGCCCCGTCGCCGCTAACCTCCCTACGCGGCCCCGTTGCCGCCCCTACGCGGCCCCGTTGCCGCCCCTACGCGGCCCCGTCGCCGCCCCTAGCGGCCCCGTAGCCGCTCCCCTCCCTGCGCGGCCCCGTCGTCGCCCCTACGCGGCCCCGTCGCCGCCCCTACGCGGCCCCGTCGCCGCCCCTAGTGGCCCCGTCGCCGCCCCTAGCGGCCCCATCGCCGCTGACCTCCCTACGCGGCCCCGTTGCCGCCCCTACGCGGCCTCGTCGCCGCCCCTACGCGGCCCCGTCGCCGCTCCTAGCGGCCCCGTCGCCGCTCCCCTCCCTACGCGGCCCCGTCGCCGCCTCTACGCGGCCTCATAGCCGCCCCAACGCGGCCACGTCGCCGCCCCTAGCGGCCCCGTCGCCGCTCCCCTCCCTACGCGGCCCCGTCGCCGCCCCTAGCGGCCCCATCGCCACCCCTACCTGGCCCCGTCGCCGCCCCTAGCGGGCAGCCGAGCCGCCCAGCAGAAGCAGCCGCCCCTGGAGCAGCCGCCACTGCAGCAGCCGCCCCTAGAGCAGCCGCCGCTGCAGCAGCCGCCCCTGGAGCAGCCGCCACTGCAGCAGCCGCCCCTGGAGCAGCCGCCACTGCAGCAGCCGCCCCTGGAGCAGCCGCCACTGCAGGAGCCGCCACTAGAGCAGCCGCCACTGCAGCAGCCGCCCCTGGAGCAGCCGCCACTGCAGCAGCCGCCCCTGGAGCAGCCGCCACTGCAGCAGCCGCCCCTAGAGCAGCCGCCACTGCAGCAGCCGCCCCTGGAGCAGCCGCCACTGCAGCAGCCGCCCCTGGAGCAGCCACCCCTGCAGCTGCCGCGGAGCTCTCGCTCTACAGTGGTAGTGGCATCGTCGTTGCCGCCATCGTATGCCTGCCCTTCTCGCCACTGGTGAGCACTGCCCTGCCCGTACTGCTGTTACTGCTGCTCTTACTACTACTACTCTTTCTACTGCTACTGCTGCTCCTGGCGTGGCCAGATGCAGCTCCAGCGTCGTCCGCGTGAGTCCCTCACCCCCCAACAGCTTCGTGAGTGGTACGCTAGTTGGGGTTGTCGGGGTGGCCGTAGTGGGAGTCGTCCTGGAGTGAGTAGTTCCGCAGCTGCTTGTAGTGGCAGGTTGCAGCTCCAGCGTCCCCCGCGTGAGTCCCTCACCCCCCAACAGCTTCGTGAGTGGTACACCAGTTGGGGTTGTCGGGGTGGCAGTAGTGGGAGTCGTCCTGGAGTGGGTAGTTCGGGAGTTTCTCGTAGTGGCCCGGTGCAGCAGCAGCGTTCTCCGCGTAAGACTCTTTCACCCCATCAACTTCGTGAGTGGTACGCTCAGAGTGGAGGGTCGCTGAGTAGTGCTCGCTGCCCGTACGTTATTAGCACGGGTGTCCGGACTGGTCAGACTTGCGGGACGCGTAGTCACACAGAGTCCCGCTGCTTCGCGCGTCTGAGCGACGCTAGGCGTACAAAGTTTGGCGACGACGCTGAGCTCCCTAACTGGTTGGATCTGCTTAGGCAGAGGGTAGATATCTTTGCTCTTGACTATGATGCTATTCTCACTGCAATGTATGCATTGTCTACTAGTGCCAAGGGAGTCTGTCACCTGTGTGTGCCGCCTGACCCCGATATCCAGTCTGCTGCTCTAGGTGCTGGTGAGGCTGCTGCTCTAGGTGCTAGTGCGTCTGCTACCCAAGGTGCTGGTGAGTCTGCTCTCTCAGGTACCACGTCGGCTCAGGCCTTACACACCTTCACCCTTGACTCGGGTGCTTCCCGCTCCTTCTTTCGAGACCGCACCACACTTACGCCGCTTAGTCGGCCGGTTGCGGTCTCCCTGGCGGACCCCTCTAGGGGTCCTGTCCTTGCTAGCTTCTCCATTGTCTTACCGTGCCCGGCATGTGAGAGTACGACGGCTTATGCCAGCTATGCTTGCTTGCCTCTACTTTATCATGCTATTTCTAGCATAGGATAATTATATGCATGCATGAATTGCTTGATTTCCTAGGCTAGGTGCTTTCCTATATTTTATTATAGTTATAGCACCGAGCTAGGTTGCGTGCACCGAATTCTGGCTTTTCGGTTGCCACCGAATTGCCTTCTACCGAATTCGGTAAGGATCTGTTCGGGACGCTTCGCGACCCGCGGAACCTTCGCGTAACACCTGGTTACGGGGCCTTGTGTCGAGCCTATATATAGCCTCGTGCTGTACCCAGGTGGACATTCAATTCAATTTGAATCATCTTTTCTGAGCTCGATCCCAGATCCTCACACTTGGTAATCAGAGCGGGTTTACACGCGAGGTCTTCAACCGCTTAGTTCCGGCCTTTAAAAACCGCGGGGGCGACGACGAAAGCGCCGATACGGGTATGTAAAACCAGTTCCGCGCAATTTTTCTAAGTCCCCCTCGATTCGGTTTTCGAACACCCCTCAGATTTACCGGTGGAAAGGTTGGAGTTTCGACCGTTCGATCGAGCTTCATCTCAACGGCCCAGAGAATTTCGCCCAAAACAGTTGGAATTTGGAGCGTCGGATCGATTTTCTCCTCAACGGCCAAGATTGGACGCGAATTTCGCCTAAGGGAGATTTACGCAACCTACAGAATTCGCGCTCGTCGATTCTACAGTCAATTTGACTCGCAGTAAGTCGACCAGCACCTAGAATTCGATTATTTCCGTCGCGCATCTTCCTGTAAATCGCCAAATGGAGGGAAAAGGAGATATTTCAGTACAGAAAATCGCGGAGTTACGTGCTGAGCATAAGCAAATACGTGCAGCGCTCCCACGACTCGAAAAACTCCTTGCGAACCAGTCGGCAACCGCCACAGCAGCAGCGACAACAGTAGCAGCAGCAGCAGCGGCTATGTCAGAACATTATAGCTTATGCTTTTGTGTAGGCTATAGTGGGGTATCCCATAGGGGGTACAACCCAATTAGGGTTAGTACTTGTACCCACTTCACTCATAGTTCATTCATTCTCGTTCTATTCTTCTCATGGTATAGAGCAGGTTCCCCTGTGGGAACTGTGCTTAGGGCCCACCACTTCGAACTTTTTTTCCTGCCCGGAGCGCGCTCCGGGCTCTCTCTCTCGATCTGTCGACCTACCCTACGGCTCCTAGACGCCCGCGCGCCGCCCTCAGACGCCCGCGCGCCGCCCGTCCCGGCCCTTCGACGCCCGCGCGCCGCCCTTAGCCGCCCGCCGCCAGTCTCGGCCCCTAGACGCCTGCCCGCTGCCCGTCCAGGCCCCACGCCGCCCGCGCGCCGCCCTTAGCCGCCCGCGCGCCGCTCGTCAGGCCCCGAGCCGCCGTCGCGCCACCCTTAGGCGCTCGTGCGGCGCCCGTCCCGGCCCGTCGGCGCCGTGTGCCGCCCGTCCCGGCCTCGCGCCACCCGTGCGCCGCCCGTCAGGCCCCACGCCGCCGTCGCGCCGCCCGTTCTGGCCCGTCGACGCCGTGCGCCGCCCGTCCCGGCCTCACGCCACCCGTGCGCCGCCCATCCCCGCCGCGCACAGCCGTCCCGGCCCCTCGGCGCCCGTGCGCCGCCCGTCCTGGCCCCTCGCCACCGTCCCGGCCCCAAGCCGCCCGTGCGTCGCTCGTCCCGGCCCCGCTCCCAGCCGCCCGTGCGCCACCCGTCCCAGCCGTGCGCCGCCGTCCTGGCCCCGCACCGCCCGTGCGCCACCTGTCCCTGCCGCACGCCGCCGTCCCGGCCCCACGCCGCCCGTACGCCGCTGTGACACCCAACCGCCCGTGCCACCCGCGTCACCCGAGCCACCCGAGCCGCCTGCGCCGCTGAGGAGCCGAGCCGCACGAGCCGCCAATGCCGCTGAGTGCCCGAGCCGCCCGAGCCGCCCGAGCCGCCTGCGCCGCCCGAGCCGCCCGAGTCGCCTGAGGAGCCGAGCCGCTGGTCCAACGGAGCTGCTGTTGCTGCTGGGCCGACCGAGCTGCTGTGTTCCCGTGTTGCTGTGCTGCTGAGCTGCCCGACCCGTCCTGTCTGGTGAGACCGTCGACTGCTGACATGGCTACCCCCAGTGTCCTTGCTTTTGACGCCGAGGGCCGCGCCATTGACTTTGAGGTCTGGGTCGACGACATGCAGCTGTTCTTGTAGTGCGATAGGGTAGACGACCTTTCTCTCTTTGACCTTACCTCTGGCGCCGTCCCTGCCCCTGCTGCTGATGCTGACCCCACTGTTCGCTCCAAGTGGGCCACACGCGATGCAGCTGCACGTCTTGCTGTGCGTCGCCAGCTGCCTACCGCTGAGCGTGCACACTTTAGTCAGTACAAGAGTGCCCAGACCTTGTACGACGCTGTAGTTGCGCGCTACTCCTCCCCTGCCACTGCTGCACTGAGCCGCCTCATGCTCCCCTTCCTCTTCCCTGACCTTGCCGCCTTTCCCACTGTCGCTGATCTCATTACGCACCTCCGCACTAGTGACACCCGCTACCGCGCTGCGCTTCCTGCTGACTTCTGCGCCAAGAACCCTCCCCCCATGTACATCACTCTCTACTTTCTAGTCACTCGTCTCCCTGACTCCCTTCGTGTAGTCCGGGACCACTTCCTCGCGGTCTGTCCCACCACTCTCACAGTCAACAGCCTCGAGAAGGCCCTCCTAGCGGCGGAGAAGAGCATCGTTGCTGTAGGAGCCTCTCGAGGTGACCCCCGCGCCCCCATCTTTGAGGGGTGTTCTCCTTCCCCTCTCTTGCCCTCTGTAGCCTCTGCCGCTACGGCCGACCTCATTGGTCTTGAGTCGGTCGGTGCGGCGTCTGCCCCTAGCGGGAGACGCCGCTCTGGCAAGGGCAAGCGGGGCAAGGGAGCGGGTGGGGCCAGCGGGGGCGGTAGAGGTGGAGGTGGAGGCGGCGGAGGGAGTGGTTGTGGCGGTGGAGGTGGTGGCGGGGGTAGGGGTGCTAGTGGCGGCAGTGGAGGCGGAGGTGGCGGCGGCGGTGGCGGTGGGAGCGGAGGTGGCGGAGGCGGTGGCGGTGGAGGAGGAGGCGGGGGTGGCGGTGGTGGAGGTGGTCGGAGTGGCGCTTCGCAGCGGAGCAGCACTGGAGGTGGTCAGCGCCAGCAGCAGCAGCAGCAACGTTCTCGCGACGTCCCCACCCCTCAGCAGCTCAGTGAGTGGTACACGCAGCGTCAGCGGGGTGGGAGTTTTGGTCCTTGCACCTACGTTCTTCGCACTGGCGACCGCGCTGGAGAGCAGTGTGGGGGTACCCACTCCGCCCAGCGCTGCTTTGGCCGCCTGACGGACGCTTGACGCCAGCAGTTCCCGGAGGCCGCGGAGATCCCCCGCTGGGGAGAGCTGTCTAGGGCTGGTGTAGCTATTTTTGATCTTGACTTTGATGCTATCCTTGCTGCTATATATGCTGTGACCATTAGTGATGAGGGTGACTGTTACCGGTGTTTCCCGGCCGACCCGGGCATTGAGGCTGCTGCTCTAGGTGCCAGTGCGTCTGTGCTCTCAGGTACTGGTGAGGCTGCTCTCTCAGGTACTAGTGAGTCTGCGCTCTCAGGTACTGCGTCGGCCTCTGCCTCCCACACCTTCACCCTTGACTCTGGAGCGTCTCGCTCCTTCTTTCGGGACCGCACCACACTCACGCCGCTTAGTCGGCCGGTTGCGGTGTCCCTGGCTGACCCCTCTGGGGGTCCTGTCCTGTCTCGCTTCTCCACAGTCCTTCCGTGTCCGGCGGCTCCCTCTGGCACCTTGTCTGGTCTCTACCTCCCCTCGTTCTCTACGAACTTGGTGAGTGGTGCTGACCTACAGGATGCGGGAGTCCACCAGTTCACCCCTGCTCGTCAGCGAGTGACGCACTGCACAGAGGCTAGCACAGGTCGTCACCTGGCTACGTTTACACGTCAGCCAGGGTCGAGCCTGTACACGCTGACCACTCCTTCTCCTCCAGTTCCTGAGTCTGGTAGGGTCCCTTCGTCAGGTCAGGTGTTTGCTGCAGCGTCCAGGTCTGGTCCTGAGTCTGCCCCCTGTTCGTGTCGTCGCCTGTCTCACGAGACTCTCCTCTGGCACCACCGCCTGGGTCACCCCTCTCTGCTTCGGCTCAGAGGCATGGCCTCCCGTCTCCTTGTCTCTGGTCTCCCCAGGTCCCTCCCTCCCCTTCCTCAGGGCCCTGGCCCTGCCTGTGTCCCCTGTGTCGAGGGACGCCAGCGTGCTGCCCCTCACTCCTCCCAGTTTCCTCCGATAGAGGCTCCGTTGCAGACGCTTCACATGGACGTGTGGGGCCCTGCCTGCGTCCGTGGACTCGGTCACGAGCGCTACTTCCTGTTGGTGGTTGACGACTACTCGCTTTACACCGCGCTCTTCCCCTTGCGCAGCAAGGGTGATGTTAGTGAGGTGCTGATCGACTGGATCCGCGCAGCTCGTCTCCAGCTCAGGCAGAGCTTTGGCTCGGACTTTCCTATGTTGCGTCTGCACTCGGACAAAGGCGGAGAGTTCTCCTCTGGCCTTCTGCGTGCCTACTGTTGTGCGCGAGGCATCCGTCAGACCTTCACGCTTCCGGACTCATCGCAGCAAAATGGGATTGCAGAGCGCCGCATTGGCATGGTCATGGACGTCGCTCGTACGTCTATGATGCATGCGGCTGCCCCCCATTTTCTGTGGCCGTTTGCGGTCAGGTACGCGGCGCATCAGATCAACCTCCACCCCAGGGTCTCCAGGCCGGAGACCTCCCCAGCCCTGCTGTGGACGGGGAAGGTTGGCGATGCGTCGGCGTTCCGGGTCTGGGGATCTCGGGCGTTTGTCCGCGACTTGTCTGCGGACAAGCTGTCCCCTCGCGCTGCTCCCTGCGTCTTCCTGGGGTTCCCCCCCGACGCCCCTGGGTGGCAGTTCTACCACCCCACCTCTCGCCGTGTTCTGTCCTCCCAGGACGTCACGTTCGACGAGTCCGTCCCCTTCTACCGCCTCTTCCCCTACCGCACTCCTTCCCTCCCGCCGCCACCGCACTTCCTTGTGCCAGGTCCCCCCCCGGTAGACCCCCTTCCCCCTCAGGGTCCTGCCCCTTCAGGTGTGTCCCAGGTAGATGCAGTCGAGCCGGTCGAGGTTGCTGGTGACTCAGGTACTGCTAGGGGTGCTGAGCCTGGGGGTGCTGAGCCTGGGGGTGCTGACTCTGGGAGTGCTGATTCTGGGGGTGCTGAGCCTGGGGTTGCTGAGCCCGGGGGTGCTGCCTCTGGGGGTGCTGAGCCTGGGGGTGCTGACTCTGAGGGTGCTGCGCGCGTGGGTGCTGAGCCTGGCGGTGCTGAGCCTGGGGGTGCTGCGTCTGGAGCTGCTGAGCCTGGAGGTGTGGAGCCTGCGGCCACTGGACCTCCCCTTGTGGCGTCTGGCGGTACTGGGCCTGGAGGTTCTCCGGGTGTTTCGTCTCGGCGGGAGCCACTCTCTCCACAGGAGCTGCGTGAGTGGTTTGCTCGCCGCTGGAGGCGTACTGCTGGAGCTGGCGCTTCTTCGGCCGCTGAGGGTGCTGGTGCCGCCGGTCCCGGAGCTGCTGGGCCTGCGGGTCCGCCTGGAGCTGGAGCTGCTGAGGGTGTTGGTTTTGAGACTACTACTGTCCGTCCTGGTGGTGGTCGTGCTGCGGGTGCTGCTGGCGCTGCTGGAGGTCCTGCCGCTGGAGGTGCTGTTGGCGCTGGTGCTGCCGGAGGTGCTGAGGGTGCTGGTGCTGTCCCTGCTGTGTCTGGTGCCGCCGCGCGGCCTCGCCCGTACTTCGTTCCGCTCCTTCAGCAGGTTCTTGGTCTTCCTCCTCTCTTAGAGGGTCCACCGCCTGTCCAGTCGCAGTCACAGTTACCGCCGGCCTCCCCACTGCCTTCTCCCTCTCCCTACACTAGTCCTACTGGAGGTCTTGCTGAGCGTCGTGAGCCTGCGTCTCGTCCTGCGTCGCCTGTTCGTGCTGCTCGCACTTGTGGTCGTAGTTCGCGTCAGCGTCCTCCTCCTGTCCCTGGCACGCACCGGATGTCTCTGCGTCCGTCCACTGCTCCTCTGCGTACCCCTTTGCCTTCTCCTCTTGAGTCCTCTCTTCCTGCGCTTGCCGACCCGGAGTCGGACTCTCTTCGCGCTGCCAGTCCTACTGTCACGCGTCTCCTTGCTACTGTCGTCACTGACCCCTCTTTCGAGTCCATTGCTGCGTCTGCGCTTGTTGCTGAGCTCGTCGACTTTGCTGCTCGCTGTCGTCTAGACTACGCTGCCAGTCTTGTTGCTGAGTCTGCGTCTGTCTGTCCTCCGTCCGTCGGGGGTGAGTGTGCTCTTGGCACGGACGTCCTTGAGGACAGGCAGGAGGAGTTCTAGTGTCTGGCTGCTGCTTCACCTCATCTCGCGTCTGTACTGCTTGCCCCTGAGGGAGACCCGGATGCACTAGACATCCCGACTCCGCGCTCTTACGCGGAGGCCGTAGAGGGTCCCTACTCCTCTCAGTGGCAGGCAGCTATGGATGCAGAGATGGCTTCCTGGAAGTCCACAGGCACCTACGTTGACGCGGTTCCCCCTCCTGGGGCGAACATCGTCAGTGGGATGTGGATCTTCAGGGTGAAGCGGCCGCCGTGCTCTCCACCTGTCTTCAAGGCGCGGTACGTGGCTCGTGGCTTCAGTCAGCGGCAGGGAGTTGACTACTTTCAGACCTTCTCTCCCACCCCGAAGATGACCACTCTTCGGGTGCTGCTGCACATAGCCGCTCAGCGCGACTACGAGCTCCACTCTCTTGACTTCAGCACTGCTTTCTTGCAGGGTAGCCTGCACGAGGAGATCTGGCTGCGCCGTCCACCTGGCTTCACTGGGACTTTCCCTCCTGGCACCCAGTGGAGCCTCCGACGGCCAGTCTACGGTCTCCGCCAGGCACCGCGTGAGTGGCACGACAGACTGAGGACTACGCTTGCGGCTCTTGGGTTTGCTCCCTCTACTGCTGACCCGTCGTTGTTTTTGCGCACCGACACTTCTCTGCCGCCGTTCTACATCCTCGTGTACGTCGACGACTTGGTCTTTGCCACAGCGGACACTGCTGGACTCGCCTACCTGAAGTCCGAGCTGCAGAAGAGACACACGTGCACAGACCTGGGTGAACTGCGCAGCTACCTTGGCTTGCAGATCACTCGGGACAGAGCACGCCGCACCATTACCTTGACTCAGTCACACATGGTGCAGCAGGTCCTGCAGCGCTTCGGCTTCACGTACTCCTCGCCTCAGACCACTCCTCTGTCTACTCGCCACTCGCTCTCAGCTCTGCCTTCGGATGAGTCCGTAGAGTCGAGTGGCCCGTAACCAGAGCTTGTTGGCTGCCTCATGTACCTGATGACCTGCACACGACCTGACCTTGCATACCCTCTTAGCATCTTGGCACGCTATGTTGCTCCTGGGAGACACCGACCAGAGCACATGGCTGCAGCGAAGAGGGTGTTGCGCTACTTGTGCAGTACGTCGGGCATGGGGCTAGTGCTTGGAGGGCGGAGTCCAGTGGTCCTCACTGGGCACGCGGACGCTTCTTGGGCTGACGACCAGGCTACGCAGCGGTCGTCGCAGGGTTACACCTTCAGTCTTGGTTCCGGCTCTGTTTCGTGGCGGGCTACTCGATCGTCTTCTGTTCTCGGCTCCACTTGTGAGGCTGAGATCTACGCCGGGGCCATGGCTGCTCAGGAGCTTCGCTGGCTCACCTACCTGCTGACTGACCTTGGAGAGCCGCCTCGTTCTCCTCCAGTGCTGTACGTAGACAACAAGGCCATGCTGGCCTTGTGTCGAGAGCAGCGCCTGGAGCACAGAACGAAGCACATTGCTCTCCGCTACTTTCTTGCTCGTGAGCTGCAGCAGCGTGGTCAGTTGCGACTTGCGTACGTGGCCTCTGAGGCCAACACTGCTGATGTTTTCACCAAGGCACTTCCGCCTTGTGATCATCAGCGTTTCTGTACTCAGCTGGGACTTGTCCCAGTCTTGCCTCACTTGCTCACCGCTTGACCTTACTTGTACTCTTGCATATATATATATATACCTGCTCTTGCTTGTTTAGACTTATATATATATGTCTCCTCCTGCATGTGAAATGGCCTTGTGGCCTTGACCTTGTGCTCAGACTGTGTGGTGACGTTGTGATCCACCCTGAGCTTGCTTTGCTTTGCTTTGCTTGACTGGTCTTGTGACCCCTTGTTCTCCCCCACTTTGCCTATGGGAGTGTGTCAGAACATTAAAGCTTATGCTTGTGTGTAGGCTATAGTGGGGTATCCCATAGGGGGTACAACCCAATTAGGGTTAGTACTTGTACCCCCTTCACTCATAGTTCATTCATTCTCCTTCTATTCTTCTCAGGCTACACCGACAATTCTACATGCGACAACGGCGGCAGCTACAATTAACCTCGAAGCAGTGAAGCTGAGGCTACCGGAGGCGTTCGATCCTATAGTAAAAAGGAACGACGTTCGTCGATTTGTAGCTGAACTCGAAATTTACTTCGAAGTCGTTAGATGCACGACCCCGACAAAAGACGCAATGCGCATACGGCTCGCAGCAACATTGTTACGAGGCCCAGCTCTAGAGTGGATCAACAACAGAATAGTCCAAGGCGAGGGGACGTGGTCGCAGGTTCCGGCAGCACTGATCGAACAGTTCGACACGTTGAACAGTAGCTACTACGGAACACGACGCAACAAGCCAACTAGTGGCATGGGGCGATTGGCACCACCCACGACTGCCGACCCGATGGAGAACGACGAGGGCGATGTGGAGCAGCGGCTAGCAAATAATGAGACGTGCAAATTTTGCGGCGCTACAGGACATCGTATCTTGGCGTGTTGGAAAATGGAGAGAAGGTGTGCGGAGCTGAAGGACAAGAACAGTGCGGCACCCCCGAAGCAGAAAACGGACAACGTGGCAACTTCGGAGAGGGCGAAAAAAGGAGAATATGGTGGCGCAAATTTAAAACGTCACGACCAGCCGGCACCAGGGGAAATCGCCGAGACTAATGGAGGATCCGCGAAACAAGACCCTGCACCGACCGGGAAACTCCAGCCGTATACCCCGACAAGTAAGAATATTACTTCTCGTGGGTTTCAAGCCTTTATTAAGGGAGAGTCAGAAATTAAACCGGTACCGGGTATTATGGGGACCCTACTCCAGAGCGCTAATACGGGTCGAGCGTTCCGAGGAGTTAATATTATCTCCCAGCAGCACTGTTTAAAGGCTCCCTGTTCCCCACAGATGAAGCCTACACAGCTGCAAAGGCTTAGTGGAAGGTTCCAGGCCCAAGAGAAGCCGAATCGGCCTCGGATAAATCCTTCTAACCTTTCTCAGTTGAAAACTAACACTGAAGCTGCATCTTTGAGCGCAGGACCTAGGGATAACATATTCGACGTACCCTACGATCCTATAAGCGATACCATCTACGGATACTCGGAGCAGCAGCAACCACTAGTACTCGAGGTGATCTGCAACGGGCGTCGCCTCCAGGCCCTCGTGGACAGTGGTGCGTCCCACTCAGTGTGCGACCGCGGGACGTTGGAGAAAATTGGAGAATCCTAAGAAGAAACCCAGTTTACAGCAACGATGGTGGACGGTACGAAGCTTCCCATCCACAGAAAGTCAACACTGCAGCTGCAGATAGGGGCGTTGAGGTGGAAGCCGACGTTGCCGATCACGAACATCAAGGGATTAGATTTCATCTTGGGGCAAGATATTCTGAAGCGGTTCAACCCCAAGATCGACTGGGTCAACCGGAAAACATGCATCTACAACAACGGGAAACGAGTGGAGCTGCGAAGCTTGACGGATACAGGGAGCGTTCCTGAAACGACACTGGCACGGTTCGAACGGACAGTGAACGAGAGTAACACGGGTTACTTAGCACTGGTTATAGCAGCAGCAGAGGAGGTCTTGGAGCAGTACAAGGATATAATGCCCGACGACCTACCCACAGGCGTATCTCCAGCACGCACCCACGAGCACGAGATCGTGGAGGAACCAGGTGCGAAACCCGTCTCACGTGCACCATACCGACTGAGTCCAACTGAACTGACAGACATGAAAAACAGATAGAGTATCTACTAGACAGACAACTGATCCGCCCATCCACCTCTCCCTACGGTGCACCAGTTCTCTTCACTCCAAAGCCAGACGGTAGTTTACGGATGTGCATCGACTACCGCGCACTGAACAAACAGACAACTCCGTCCACAAGACAGCGTTCCATACCAGATACGGCTCCTACGAATACTTGGTGATGCCGTTCGGACTCTGCAACGCACCAGCAACGTTTCAGGCGGAGATGAATCACATCTTACGACCCCTGCTGGACGAGTGCGTGGTGGTGTACCTGGACGACATTCTCATCTACTCCAAGAACATGAAGGAGCACGTGGAGCATCTGCGGAAGGTGTTCGAGATCCTGCGGAAAAACAAGTTCTACGTGAAGCTGACTAAGAGCGACTTCGCCCTGAAGAAGGTGCAGTTTCTCGGGCACATGGTGAGTGCCGAGGGCGTAGACGTGGACCCACGGAAGATCGAAGCCGTCAAGAAGTGGAAAGTACCAGAGAACGTGAAGGAGTTACAGCAGTTCCTAGGCTTCGCCAACTACTACAACAGGTTCGTGCCGCAGTACGCTAAGATAGCAGCGCCACTGACCGACCTACTGAAAAAGGATACGCCCTACAAATGGGATACCCTTCATCAGCAAGCCATGGAGCAGCTACAGACAGCACTGACTACAGCGCCAGTACTCATCTTGCCGGATCCAGACAAGGACTACGTGGTGGAAGCAGACGCTAGTGACCAAGCAGTCGGAGCAGTACTGATGCAGGATCGCGGACGCGGTTTGCAGCCCATCGCCTACCTTAGTAAGAAGCTACACGGAGCAGAACTAAACTACCCCATTCACGACAAGGAAGCCTTAGCGATAGTCATAGCCTTCAAGGCGTGGAGGTGTTACCTAGAGGGAGCCAAGACTACTCTCTATACTGACCACTGCAGTCTCAAATACCTGAAGTCACAGCCGACACTCTCACGACGACAGGTGCGGTGGGTGGACTTCCTGGAAACTCACTTCCACTACGACATCGTCTACAAGCCCGGGCTACACAACAAGGCAGACGCGTTGAGCCGCCCCGGACATGTCGCAGGCATCCAGCTCGACGGGATGAACCCTCTGCTCAAGGGTCTATTCCAACATGGGTACTCCGTGGACGCAGAGATTGCTACAGCACAGACCAAGAAGCTATTACAGTGGGAGAAAGACTTAGCTGTAAGGAAGGGTTCATGAAAGATTTGGGTACCGAATTACGCCCCGCTACGGCCGATCCTATTGGAGGAGTTTCACAACGTACCATACGCGGGACATTTCGGGAGCAACAAGACGTTAGCAGGGATAGCAAAGTATTACTACTGGCCCGGGATGGCAGCAGACGTGCAGCAGTTCGTCACCTCATGCGACACGTGCCAGCGGATGAAGAGCAGCAAGCAGAAAAAAGCAGGGTTACTTCAGCCTCTACCCGTACCGGAGTAGCCATGGCAGGTCGTTAGCCCCGACTTCATCACAGGACTTCCTTCGACCTCACGGGGACATGATCCCATCCTCGTGGTGATCGATAAGTTCTCCAAAATGGGTCACTTCATACCGACCAACGCCACAGCTACAGCTGAAGCAACTGCTCGACTCTTCTTCGACCACATCATCACCATCCACGGCATCCCCGCTACACTCATCTCAGACAGAGACCCCAAATTCACGAGTAAGTTCTGGAAGGAGCTCATGGGACTGTTGGGGACAAAGCTTGCAATGTCTTCAGCATACCACCCCCAGACTGACGGACAGACAGAGCGACTCAATCAAGTGGTTGAACAGTTACTGCGCACAGCTTGCAAGGACGACGTCAGCCACTGGGACACACAGTTACCGACCCTAGAGTTCGCTTACAACAACGCATCACATGCGGCCACAGGAAAAACTCCTTTCTTCCTGTGTTACGGACGGGAACCACTCACACCACAGCAGCCAACCACACCGGCATACGTCCAAGCCGCACATGACTTCGTCACCACCATGCAGCAGCTATGGGAGAAGACTCAGCGACCTCTCACAACGATGCAAAACTCAGTAGCAGTCGGAGATCAGGTGCTTCTTGACACGCGCAACTTGAACCTGTCTCACCTCCCATCCAAACTCCGGCCTCGCTTCTGTGGCCCTTTTCTCGTTGAGGCACAGGTGACACCAGTTACATTCCGCTTGCGCTTACCAGATACATGGAAGCTTCACAATGCTTTCCATGTCCAGCTACTGAAGCCCTACAAGGACCCCAACCAACAGTTCCAGGGACGGCAACTACCGCCACCACCACCTGTTCTCATACAGGATGAACCCGAGTACGAGATCGAGCCCGTTCTCACCCATCGGCGCCGCGGTGGCAAGACCCTCGAGTTCCTGATACGCTGGAAGGAATACGACCCCACTGAGGACAGTTGGGTTGCAGAAGCTGATATGGGCAACGCACGCCGTGCTCTCAAGGACTATCTTGTCAAGCAGGGTGTATCTCACGCCACCCAGCTTTGAGGGGGGGACGTGTGAGAGTACGACGGCTTATGCCAGCTATGCTTGCTTGCCTCTACTTTATCATGCTATTTCTAGCATAGGATAATTATATGCATGCATGAATTGCTTGATTTCCTAGGCTAGGTGCTTTCCTATATTTTATTATAGTTATAGCACCGAGCTAGGTTGCGTGCACCGAATTCTGGCTTTTCGGTTGCCACCGAATTGCCTTCTACCGAATTCGGTAAGGATCTGTTCGGGACGCTTCGCGACCCGCGGAACCTTCGCGTAACACCTGGTTACGGGGCCTTGTGTCGAGCCTATATATAGCCTCGTGTTGTACCCAGGTGATCATTCAATTCAATTTGAATCATCTTTTCTGAGCTCGATCCCAGATCCTCACACGGCAGCCCCCTCTAGCACCCTGTCTGGTCTATACCTCCCC